CTCAATTGCCTGACCTTTTTCATTTACTTGACGTAGGAGCGATCGATCTCCCGGACTTTCTTTCTGGCTTTAGGATGCTGCTCCACTATGACTACTACAACAGGCTTGCTCTTCCAGAGGCAGACGTCCCTTTCAACCGCGTTCTTCTTCACGAACCGCTCTGACATGGCACGAATCCTGAATTCTCTGACTTCCCCTGCTAGCCGTCTTTGATATGTTGCTTCCCTTGATAAGCAGTTCCAGGCAGTATTAAGGAACTTTCTAATACATCGGAATGCCGTTTAATTGAGTGGGTTACACTGTTTATGTTACCCTTGGGATGTGATTAAGTTAAGGCTGTTTGTTTGTCCTATGACCACTGTTATACTCACCTTGTTATAATTTCCATACATTATGTTCTGCTGTAGGCTTACTATGGGAATGCTGTGCTTCACTGGGAATTGCATGTTCCATTAGGCATGGGATGGATGCGGATACAGTCTGGCATACTGAGAGATCCTGGATTTGAGATTTTCCTTCCCTCTGGATCTCAGTGAACGCCTGCTAATTGCCATGGGATTGCACCCCCTGCATTATGCATACATTCTCTACTTCCTATTGCATCTTGTTCCATCCTGCCAGTGGGTACGGGCCTTGCATCTCCTATTGAAGCGTGTAATATCTTCTGTTTATACTGTTTATCTATAAACCCGCACGCATTGTGCTACGGGATGATTACAACTGTTTGAATTAACTGAACCGTTAGTTTGATTAGGCCAGCAACTATTGCAGTTTTAAACGTAGACCTGAAGCTGTTCTCCAAAATTATAGCAAATAGGCTACTTCCGTTTATGTCCCATACACCCTGACCAAGTAGGCTTTATCCCCTCTGGAGGGGCAAGAGACAACCCCTTCAGGGTTTTTTATGTTATCCATATGACTAAATCAAAGAACAAACCTGCAAGACAAGACACAGAGAGCGCCTCCATCGCATAAAAGCTTTTTAATGAACAAATAAAAAGATGGTAAAAAGGTACTCACAAAAGTCGAGTAAAAACAGGCATAAAAGGGTCAGAACGAGAGGTGCATATCCACCGGCTATTCGTCTTCCCTGGTAGTGAAGTGGTTTACGCATTTCAGAGGTCACGCCTCCTTCCTCAGAACCAAAACAAGAACAAACCTCTAGTATTGCTTTCCACTGATGCCGAGAAGGCATTTGACATATTGGACTGGGACTTCATGAAGACTGTTTTACACCATACAGGCCTGGGTAACAATATGTCTAAATTATTCCTCACCATCTGCGGCAGTTCGAGTTAACGAGACTAGATCTAAAGACTTCCTCTTGACTAATGGAACCCGTCAGGGCTGCCCACTCTCATCCCTAATTTTTGCTTTAACCTTGGAACCCTTCCTCTGCACAGTAAGGAAATCGGCTAACATACAGGGTTTTTCTATGCACTCAGGTGAACAGAAGGTAGCTGCATACGCAGATGATTTCATATTTTTCTTACCAATCCTTTAACATCTGCTCCTAACCTTATTTCGGCTCTCTCCGACTATAGTCAGTTTTCCAACTTTAAAGTGAACTTGCCAAAATGATCTGCCCTGAATATCTTACTGCCGCCCGATGTTTTCTCCCAGCTATGCGTCGATTTCCCTTTTAACTTAGCGACCAATCAAATTAAATATTTGGGGACGTACATTACAACTGATATCAAACATTTGTACACTGCTAACTTTACTCCATTAATGACGGAGATACTTAAAGATCTTAAGATCTGGTCCACCCTGGCAGATGTGCTACCATTAAGATAAATATTCTGCCTCAAGTTCTTTATTTGTTCCAAGCCTTACTGATTTCCAAGCCTCTCAGTTTCTTTCAACGTCTACACCAACCACGACACACCATCATTACCATGTCATTCAAATCCTCCATTGCCAGCAAATTTCAAGAAACAGGGTACAAGATAATGTCTCGCTGGTATAGGGTTCCTTGGCTCTTACACACATGAGGGCCTCCATCTCTGATAGGTGCTGGAGATGCGGCTCAGAATCAGGTACAATGTTACATGTCTTTTGATTCTTGCTACGATCAAGACCCTTTTGGGACAAAGTGCTGACTGTCATCGAAGACCTAACTATGGTGAACCTCAGAAACAACCTGGCGGCATGTCTGTTACACATGTCCTCGAATCTTATCTCCAAACACTCCCTCACACACCACTTATTGAACGGTGCTAGAGCATGTGTTCCATTGATGTGGAAACAGTCCTGTCCTCATACGATCCAATTGTGGCTCTATAAGGTGCACAACTTATACAGTATGTCATGGAAGACCTGACAGCATCGTTAAGAAATTCTTGAACCACCAACCTTTCGGTCTACAGCCGAACGCGCTAACCGATTGCGCCACAGAAACAGAGTGCAGCTCTCAGGGGCACTGTGTGGGCACACAGGGGATCTGTGCAGCAATCCTGGCCAGAGTGCATGAATGCAGATAGGAAACAGCTGCCAAGGGGCTGCAGAGGATCAGCAGCAAAGGGATGCAACAAGGCATAGCAAAAAGGTAAAAACTAGAATTGTATTTAAAACAGTGCAAATTGTTTCACATACTGTAGACCTTGGTATACTAAATGTGCGGGTTCTCTTCGGGCGCCGGAACCCTTTGGTTCAGTCGAACCACAGGGCTGCTATAGCGGCTATTCACAATATGAGAATAGGGGCAAATGGCAGCGAGTGAGCTGCCAGAGCTTCGGCTTAGCCAATCCAGATGTTGGATCGGCTGAGTCAAACTCCTTCTGCACTTCGGCTCAGCCAAACATGCAGAGCATGTTCGGCTGACCGAAGGCAGCCCATGTACAGCTGATTTTAGCCGATGTAAGGCTTAAATTAGCCCTACAAGCCAGAAATGAATATCTGAACAGTGTTCAGCTCACTTCACTTTGGCTGGGATATTCACTTGGCTGCCTTCGGCAGCTTTGTGAATAACCCCCTTAGAGGTATTGTATGTTATTGCGAAGAAACTCAGTCTAAAAGTACACAAAGACCTTCACCAAAAAACAGCAAAGAGGTAAGAAATATATATATTTTAAAAATATTTTTGGGTATGCTGTGTGAATAGAAACACATAACAAATATATAAAGGGGTTTTCCCAAATTTGACGGCAAAAGGGGAATTACACTTGAAAGAATTAGAAGCATCTGGGGAACAACTGACTTTGAAACTGTTCAGAGTAGCTTGCAGTCTGTACAAAGGCCTCCACCAAAGAAACAACAGTTAAGAAATAATTTTAAAAAAATGTTTAAGTATGCTGCGTGAATAGGAACACTTAGCAAACATATAGTTGGGTTTTCTCAAACTTGACAGCAAAAGTTGAAATACAATTTAAGGCCTACAGTATGTCAAGTGGCTTTTGTTTATGATAGGACTGCTTCTCACCTAGTAGGACTGCTGGCACACACACAGATGCACACTAGGACTGCTGGCACACACACAGATGCACACTAGGACAGCTGGCACACACAGAGACACACTAGGACTGCTGGCACACACAGGTACACACTAGGACTGCTGGCACACGCACAGGTACACACTAGGACTGCTGGCACACAGACTTATACTGGGACTCCTAGCCCACACAGATACTCTCTCACAAATAGCCACACACAGAGGCATTTGCAGTGTTGATCGTCTGCCATTTTTCTTCCAGGCGTCACCTAGTGATAACTGATGAAATTGCAGTCAATATGTCTGCAAGTAGAGACTTAAATGACTAGGTCACCAGAAAGCATTATTTTAGTCACCATAGCAACCAAACTTTGTCCTGCCCAGATACAGAGGACTATATTCATCTGTCAAGTTGTGCTGCGATATAAAAATAAATGAATACCAGAAGGGCCAAAATACTAACCTTCCCGGGAGAAAATGCTGCTTTATCCTTCAGTGCTGACCCCATGCATTGAGGGCCCAGTCACACCATCAAGAGTGCGGCGAGTGAGGGAGCTCACAGCGATGAGAGGAGCAGCGGCGTGTGCGGTGGCCGTGGCTTCTGCGTCGTTTACGGCGGGCATTGCGTGTGGCTCGGGTCATGTGTGGAGCCCCAAACAGGCTAACCTATCGATAGCTGACTAATCGACGATGGAAAACGCTGACAACGTTTTCCATCGTCGATTTTAATCGACTTAATCGATTAATTGTTGCAGCTCTAGTTTGGAATAATAACATGCAGTTTCTTTGCATAGTGCCCTATCTATTGTCTTTATTTGGATAGAATAGCTTTGAATTCCAAACATTGAAAGTGGTGAATCTTGGTTAAGTGGGCATGGCTTTGTTCAAAAATGCATGATGAATAAATAAAATGTTGGGAGTTATATTAACTCAAACCGTTTCCTACATAGTGTAACTGGTTAAATATCTTACATTTTTTAACAATAGCTAAGGGCCACATATTGTAAGTGTGAGATCTGTTTGGGTAAAGATAAACTTCAGTAGGAAGTTTGTATTTAAAACTGAAACTATTAAAAATATGAATGCCATTTCATCCACATGCAGACCAATCAGTGTCTTTAAGACTCATAGTAAGTGACAGGGGCGGTTTCCCATTAAAGTGCTTTTCAGAATTGTGGCAGTTGTGGACATCATTTTTTGTCAGGTCTTAGGCCTCTAAAGCCTAAGGTGATGTTTTTTTCAAACCAATTCTACTTTTGTTGAAAAATACTTGTGTATAATGTTTCACCAGGAATAAGGATTATAGAAATAGATAATAAGAATTGTATTCTAGCAACCGAATGTCCTACTACATTTGTATGTCATCATTTAGCTTTGACTGACATTAGTGTATTCATGACCTAGTTAGAACACAAAGTAAAGCGTGATATTGGAAGTTTCATTTAACTGACAGACTTGACATAAGACTTGGGGTAATCTATTATAAATGAGGAACAATTGGAAAACATTCTGTTTATATATTTTTGTATGTTTTCCTGGATAAATGATCAATGTCTGTTTTCTCACACAGAAGTGAACCTGACAGGACAAGAAGACAAAGTTGGTATGGTAGACTTTGAACTGCTGAAAATTTTGGGAACTGGAGGTAAGTGACACAAACGTCTTATGCTGTTTTCTCCACATGAATATATGAAAAGTCCATACCAGTGAGGGGAGACAGGAAGTTCAGCTCTTAGTAAAGTCTTGGTTGTCACTGACCTTGCTGAGTGGGGAAGATCTTCCTGCCAGAGCTGTGGACAGCAAAAACAGCTGATAGGGGGCTCAGAGAATCTTGCTTAGAGGTGTTTTGCTAAATCTAGCTAAATTGAGACTTTATTAATCCTATGTCTATGTGCGCCGTTAGACATGGTGCTTCAAATTATTGAAATATATATGTAGGCCATTTGAAAGCTCCGATGCCAATGTTATAGTTTAAATTCTGGGAAACTGCCAAATAATTCTGAAAGATGAATGCCTCCTTTGGTTGTTGCCATTTGTTTCTTGCCTCCTCTGGCATTTTGTAATATTCTTTCACTCTTTTTGCAGCATATGGTAAGGTTTTCCTTGTTCGTAAAGTGACTGGCCCAAATGCAAATCGCCTCTATGCCATGAAGGTGCTGCGTAAGGCAGCTCTGGTTCAAAAAGAGAAGACAGCAGAGCACACGCGAACTGAACGTACTGTGCTAGAACATGTGAGACAGAGTCCATTTCTTGTGACCCTTCACTATGCCTTCCAGACAGATGCCAAACTCCACCTTATACTAGGTAGGTAAAGGAAATAGTGTGCTTAGAATCACTGATGTATGCTTTCTATCACTATAGACCTAAGGGGCTTTCCAATTTAATAACAATTAAATCCCTAAATCCAGACTCCGTAGAGCTCAACCTTCTCTAAAAAGAGACAGACACACACAAATTTATATGCTTATGTAGAATCTTTATGATATTGGTACCATGCCTAATATCAGGTTTCTTGTACAGTGGGATGGGTGGAAGTCTACATGCAGCAATCCAAAGCAGGGGTGCACTATTGGATTAAATCAGAAATATGCCCATAAAAAAATGAACTTATTTAAATGTTACTTATTGTGAAAGGCAGGTGTTATGATCTATATGTGTTAAGTCATTGTAGTACCCAAAAAAATACAAGAGAGATCCTTTGCATATGATTAAATTGCTAAAATAATGACTGTTTAGTGTTAGGTATTAAATCTGAAGGAAATATTTGGTAAAGAATAGTATGTTGGGCTTATCTGATCATGGAATAAAGCTTGTTAGGCTGGCACTTCATAAAGCTGTCAGATATATATATAGATTGGGAGAATTCATATGTTCAGTTCTGCCTCCTAAAGGAAAAGATCAAGATCAACATTTGTTATACAGACACAGAAAACTCAAAAGCTCATTATTTATAGTTACATAAAAAGATTATTCGGCAAAGCACAGATAGTAGGCCCTTTTCCCTAACGTATTTGTTACTGTTATTTATTTATATAGCTCCATCATCTCACATGAAGTAGTAGTTGATAATATCATACAAAGATTCATACATAAAGTGATGAGCTTATAAACAAGCGATGAGTGCTACAAAAACATTTAGTAAGGGAGCAATGCTAGGGACAGCCTCGGAAATTTAGGGACATCTTTTAAAGTTTAGTTTAATCCATGTTCGGTTAGCCACAAATGAAGGTTTGTGAACTTTCAGAAATTTGACCAAGATTTGAAGAAGCAGTGAAATATAGTGCTGACTCAACCCTTCACTAACTAAAACGGAAATTTGAAACATGTTAGTGTCCTGAGATTGTTATACATGATACAGCTACAGGTTTTCAATTAAATGCACCAAAATATTATCTACTGGGTCATTTGGGTAGGTAAAAGAATAATGCTGTACCCGGGCTGTCAGTTGGCACTTTATACATAAAGGATACAAATAATGATAATACATGATTGTCAAATAGTTAAAAAAAGTGATTGATTAATATGAATTAGATGTTTAAACTTTTCAGAGAATTATTCCTGCACTGACTCATTGTGAGAACTAAAGCATGTGCTCGGAAAACAGTCATTCCAAACCTCCAACCCTAGTTTGCGCAAGAGCTGCCTCATATTTTGTGCTTGTGATAGACAATGAACTGCCACTTTATATTATTCAAGTGCTTGTGAGTCTTCTAATGAGCCCACTGTAAGCCAGGGCCATCAAAAGCCTCCTTGACCACACATACTGACCTGGCCAGCTGGAAGCACTTTTGTAGGTCCGTATGCCATACGTCCTTGGCAGCGAAAGGGTTAAGGCCCCACTGCAGAGCATGGGGTAATGACTCTTGCAATGCCACCCTTACACTAACCCCCAGCAACACTTAGCATTTTTATCAAGTCTAAGTTATAAGTAACTTGTTTGTTTTCCAGAGTCTTGTATAAAGCCATTAATACTTATACTACACGCAACTCTATGTTTTTTCCCTATAGAAAGGAGAACTCAATGCATAGTCGCTATAGGTTTGTATATCAGAAATACAATTTCTGTGCATCACACAAATTGCCCAACTTGCCTAATAAATTAAATCTGTTTTATTAGTAAAATGGTACTTTTGGCATGACTCCTAATACTTGTCTTTGTAGTGTAATGGTTAAACATAATGTTGTGGCCTTATATTCTGTCCTTCTTTTATCCTGATAGACTATGTTAGTGGAGGAGAACTTTTTACTCATCTCTATCAGCGAGATAACTTCTCTGAAGATGCTGTACGCTTTTATTCTGGAGAGGTTATTCTGGCTATTGAACACCTACACAAGGTGAGAAAATGTCTATCTTGCTTTATGCAGGGAGACCTTAAATGCAGTCCATATGACTTACATAAATTGTGCTGAATGGCTGGCATAATGACAGGGACTGTTCTGACTCCACACCTCTCTTCAGTTGGGCATCGTGTACCGAGACATCAAGCTGGAAAACATCTTATTGGACAGTGATGGTCATGTGGTGCTTACAGACTTTGGCCTGAGCAAAGAATTCATGTCTGAAGAGGTGAGAAGTTGGTTTTAGATCTTGCACTTGCATTCACAAATAACAAGTAGCATTACACATATGAGTTAATGGGCATGCCATATTGACAAGTCTTTCCTTTAGGTAGATCAGTTTAAATTAAGGTCTTGTGTAGCAGAACATTATTAAGGCAAGTTGTAGAAGAACATATCATTTACATATATAAACACTGTTCAGAATTAAAACAAAGTAACAACAAATTGAGCAATCTATAAAAGTGCGGATGTAAGATTTAGCTGGCTGTAATGCTCCCAAATACTGTGGCAAATGCTGCCATTAAGACTGTGTATTAATTAATTCAACAGAATATAGGAGTCTTGAGTCCACTGTTAGTGTATTTGGTACTGCAAAATACTGATTTCTCCACAGCATTAAGTAATGTAGTGTAATTTCAGCCTTCTAAGTAAATGTACTGAACTAAGACCATCATGAATTATTTTCTTACGCATTGTGGAAAGTATTTTTTATTTACTGACCTAGGTGTTATATTGATTATATTTTATGAACTACGCTCCTGTATTTTTTGATGTTTTTTGCACAGTGTGAGCGCACATATTCCTTCTGTGGCACGACTGAATATATGGCACCAGAAATAATCAGAGGGCAGGGAGGTCATGGCAAGGTGAGTCATTATAAATGGCAGCAGCAGACATCTCATTAAGAATGCAATATTCCCTCCAATTATATTGTGTATTTTCTGATGCAGTCAGTGGACTGGTGGAGTCTGGGAATCCTCATTTATGAACTGCTAACAGGAGCATCTCCATTCACATTGGAGGGGGAAAAGAACTCACAGAATGAAGTGTCCAAGTGAGTAAAAAAAATCAGTAAAGAAATAGTAAGCTTTTATTTAGATGGTATATGGTCCCTATTAAACTGGCAAATTTTTCAGGTGGCTCCTCCTCGCTGTATTTTCGAGGTTGTGGGGAGCAAGGCTCCATGGCCCATATTTGGTGGAAGTGCCCTAAAATTCAGCTTTAAGTGGTCGGGGGTATATTAGATAATAGAGAGAGTCATGGGAAGAAGGTTAAGGAAAGACCCATGGGAAGCCTTGCTAAATTTCAAGCCAGAAGTCTTTACGCAACATCAATTTAGATTGATAACATTCATCTTTACATCAGCTAAACAAACAGTAGCCAGAGATTTGGAGTCAGAGATACCAGTTGTACAACAAATTAAAGAAAAAATTACATGGTATTTAATAAATGAGAAAATTACTGCAATACTAAAGGACTCAATCTTTAAATTTAGAAAGGTCTGGCAACCTTGGATTCAAAATTATATGCCTCCGGAATCTGACATATATATATTATGGATATGGATTTATAAGAACTAAGGTTGCTAGGGATCAGAAGGTGGGAGAGAATCTTTGGGGGGAGAGGGGAGGAAATAGACAGGATTGGGTTTTTCTGTGTATTTTTGTGTGTAGGGTATGATAAGAATGAGGGATGAATGCTAAATAAATGTTGTTATGCAATGAATAGACAGTCGATATTTTAATTGCTTTTGTAAATGTAATACAAGGTTGGAATGGGAATTCAAATAAGGATACCATAATGTTTGTAATATATTATGTTATAAATTGAATAAAGGATTTGAAAGTGTAGAAATAGTATGGGTTTGTTGAGATAGAATTTAGGAGGAAGGGTTTGGTAGATTTCAGAACATATGGATACATATATTTTCTCTTGAGAGTAATAGGCTGAAGGATGGGTAACAATACTTCATTACATAAAAACCATGTTTGTCACAGACGGATCCTAAAGATGGAGCCCTCGTATTCCTCATCTTTAAGTTTGGAGGCTCGGGATCTTCTTCAGAAGTTGCTTCGCAAGGATCCAAGAAAACGACTTGGAGCAGAGGGTGCTTTCCAAATAAAGGAACACAAATTCTATAGGGTGAGAAGACACTGTCCAATGTTTTACTACCTACTCATTTTTGGGTGAGGCATTGTCTGTAACATTTCTTGTCTCTAATACAGGGCCTGGACTGGGAAGCTCTGGCCCTGCGTAAAGTTACTCCTCCATTTCGTCCATCTATACGCAGTGAAACAGATGTCAGTAATTTTTCAGATGAATTTACAAGTTTAGACCCTGTGTACTCTCCAGCGGCAACTCCACCTTCTGGGGCGCGTATATTCCAGGTCTGTCCAAATCTAGTTTTACATGTTCAGTTTTTCATGTGGAATTTATGCAACAGATAGAACAAAATGCTTTCAAATGCATTTAACAAACTAAAAGGGAGAAAATAAGAGAAGTTAATTGTAATAGTATAATGTATAGCTTGATCTGACAAAATATCTGAGTTCATGTATTGAACTGAGAAAAAATTGTGATGTGGACCTCTATTTCTCTTCTGTATAACCACAGCTCCCATGGTGTTGTTTAATGAATAGTTAGTGTTGTGAATTAAACTAGATGCATAATGGGGCACACTTCCCCACCACCGTCAGTTATTTGTACAGCTATGACCATATCTTCCAGTGATTTTGTTGAACGTCATGGAAAGAACAGTATTCAACATTTTTTTATTGGATGTCCAACAGTTAGCCTTGATTATATCTATAATCATGTTTACACCTTGATTAGTTTTTTTGTAACATTTGTCAACTATATAGGATAGTCTTTGGCAGTCTAAAGGTAGTACATTCATTTTGCCTTGGTTAGTACACCAGATACCTTCTGTGAGTAGTGCATGCTTGGTTAGCTTTATGTTTAGGTGCAATGTATAATACAGCAGGCGATTAGACAGAGAGACAGTAAGCAGCTTCTGATTTGCTGCCACAAGCCACATAAATATTTGCTGAGAGTCACGGCTCAGTCAATGTGGCTCCTAAGCTAAGGATTGTGGTTCATTGGTATAGAATGTCAGCTCAATAGTATCTAGGCATATGATTTTCTCAGTTAAGTCTTTAGGTTCCTTTATCAGTATGGCTGTGTTGGTACTCTATTTACAAATTATGTGTACATTTATAGGAGCATTTAGTTATAGAACCTCAGAACACCTATTTGGATTCCAGAATAATTAACCTATAGAACATATACTATCTCTTTTTCAGCAAAGAAGTAATGTCTTCTGCCAGCAAAACTGTAAGTCACATTTGTTGTTTGCTCCATCTCCTTACTTTGCTTTGTATATTTCAGGGATACTCCTTTGTAGCTCCATCTGTTCTGTTTGGTGTAAATGCAGCAATGACAGACATGCCTGCCCCATCTGCTGACAAACCTGCAAGCCCTACGCTAGCTCTGAGTGCTGCCATGAAGGTAAATACGTATATTTAGTGACAAAGTAACCTTTATTTTGTTCTTGGTTTAAATTTACATGCTTTATGTTACTCACTTTTTTATTTTTAGTGACCACTCCCCTTTCCCAGAATCTACCTTTTGCTGTTCTTGTCAGTCCTAATCCATTCTTTCAGCAGTATGAAATGGATCTGCAGGAGCCAGCTCTGGGGTCTGGAAGTTTCTCTGTGTGCAGGAAATGTCGCCATCGCCAGAGCAAGAAGGAATATGCTGTGAAAATACTTAGCAAAAGGTGAACTATGCTGCTTACCTTGCAAAAAAGTACAGATTGCACAATCCTTGTCTGTCTGAAGGCATTAGTCATGTGTAATGCCTTCTATAGTTGGCTTGTGAAATAATTCAGACTTCACCTTGTGGCTCCTAGCTGCCTCCTGCCAGTATGAACACCTGGACAACAGCTCATGAAATGTGTAATGCTGTGATGTTTCCCTAGTGGTTTAGTAAAACCCCAATTACCATAGGCGGAGCTTATTGTTGAGTTAAATGGGTGGAGTGTGGAGAATGCAAATGCTAGCTCAGGCTGCATAGAAGACGCACAGTAAGCACATTCCGTTTTTTCCATGACAACAGTTTGTATAATGTGGGTGAGCTTTAAAGTGACACTAAACTCAGGAGTTAAATCTTAAAAATGCTTTCAAGTAGCCTAATTATTAACAAAAATGTCTCTTATTTGTGTATCACTCAGCTGTAGATCCTCAAAACATCTCTGAATTGGTGCTGACACTGTCCTTCCTTCTGGAGGGTGTCTACTTTTGTTCCCCATGGTCCGTTTGTGTAGTAAAGTAGTCACCGCTCCAAGCCCACTCCTGTGATGGACTACAATCTCACATTTAGTTTACTAATTTGTATTGAGATTGTAGTCCATCACAGGAGCGAGCTTAGAGTGACTAATTTACAACACACACAGGGACCATGGGGAACAAAAGTAGCCACCCTAAAACAGGTGTGCGAAATCCAAACTTACTAAGGGCCATGCCAAGGGTTGTGAATAAAATCAGGGGCCAGACATAAAAAAGAAAAAAAAATGAACCCTGCTTCTTGCCGCGGAACAAAGCTCGGGCCCACTAATGATTATATGACAGTCCTGGTATCCTCTGTGTGAGGGCACTACTGTGTGGACAGGGACTGCTGATACTTATCAGCAGTCCCTGTCCATTAAATGGACAGGGACTGCTGACACTTTTAGTGTCCTCGCACACAGGACACCAGGACTGTCATATAATGATTAGTGTGCCTGAGCTTTGTTCCGCGGCAATAACAGGGTTCATTTTTTTTTCTTTTTTATGTCCAGGCCCTGATTTTATTCACACCCCTTGGCATGGAGGAACGTGCATGCGGTAAACCTGTGGCCCAGGAGAGAGGTGCGACCGAAAAACCTGCGTGCAAAAAGAAGCCTGCAGCCCAGGAGGGAAGCGCGATTGAGGAGAAACATGTAGGTGTGCAGTCCTCAGAGGGCGGCCGCCTAAATTGCTGCTCCAAGCTCTGGCTGGAAAAAAAAAATTACCCTGCTTGGCAGTACAGAGCTTGAGACTGGCGGGCCTGAGAAAATTGTGTGGTGGGCTGTTTCTGGCCCGCGGGCCTTGTATTTGACATATGCGCTCTAGAAGGAAAAACAGTGTCATCACCAATTTAGAGTTGATTTCAGAAACTACAGCTGAGTGATACACAAATAAGGTATATTTTTCTAAATTGTTATAATACTTGAATGCAAGTTTAGTGTCACTTTAAGTTGAGATAAATCATTCAACTAAAATATGAATATAAGTTATATTTACTTGTTCATAAAAATATCTAAGCTTGATCTGCAAGCAATTTTATCCAGGGTTTTCCTTCTTTGTCAGTTGTCTTAAGCATAAAAACATGGCTTCCTGTATCCAAGGCTGCCTGAGGTTCCGGGGTGCAGCTAGTATCAGAGGGTTACACTGTATTTATTTTCTTTATCATTTATTAAAGGACACAAGATTCAGTTATTCTGTTATAATTGGGTTATACTATCACCCACAGGATTTGGATACTATAAAAGAAAAAAGCTGTTGGCCAGCTAGGTTACCAGCTCCTATTACCAGCATGCTTTAGTTTTTTTGCTAGTGTACTGGGCGGCTGGACATATTTTCTCTATTGAGAAACGTTTACCCCTTTACTAGCCATTTTATTTAGTTTTTGCTCAAGATATTATCTGTATGCTGCTGAAGTGGGCTCTTTATACAGCCATCCAGATCACCTAATCATTGGCAATACCTTGCAGGTCATACCCAGACCCTGCTGGACCGCATGCTTGCCTGAAATGTGAGATTTGGGCATTGAGTTCTGTTGATGGCGCTTCGGAAATTATGTTAATTGTCACAGAGGCATTACACAGCCTGTGTTATGACCCAGTCTCTAAAGACTCTTATTACTTGAGAACTTAGCGATCACAAACTGCTGACCACCCAGCTCATGGCTCTTCCCTGCAGAAAGCGGTGATTGTCAGCGAGCGCTCTCCGCAGGGATTCTCCTTCCCCTTTCTCTACTTCTCCAGCGCTCACTGAAGGGACAGACAGGGGAGGGGGAGGGCACAGCTGGCTCTGGCTCTAGAGAGGTAGAGCCGGCTGTCAATCAGGCAGTGGGGTGGATCCCAAAAAATATTGTCAGGATCTTTACTGGCTGCAGCGCAGCTCTGCACGCGGTAGTAGCCCGCTAGATGCTGAGTTTGGGTCACAGGAGTACATGTAAATGTACTCCTGTGACTTAAAAAGAGAACTGAAGCCAAAAAAGGGTTTAGCATTAGTTCTTATTTAATGAGCACACCATTTGGGCTGAGCTTTAGGAGCTACTACACTGATTGGTAATGTTATACGCCAGCAATACTCCCATGTTTTGGTGGTTAATGCGCTGAGGAATTAAATGCTGAGCCACTAACTGGAGGGTCATATGTGCACAGTCCCTGTGAATTTTCCCTTCACTGCCTGGATGTAGTTCATGCTGTACAGGTTTACCTCTCAGCCACTGCTTCCATTAGATAGACTTTTTGTCATTTCTGATGGTCCCCATTCACCAAATTTGGGTGGCTCAAGCTTATGGTCTTAAGGACAAGGTTCCACTTTTTCGTGTCCAGGAGCACTCTACTAGGTCTATGAGTGCCTCTTGGGCTTTTAGACATGAGGCAACTGTTTGCCACCTGGTCCTCTGTTCATACATTCTCTATGTTGTATCAGGTGGATTTTCAGGCCTCACCTGATGCCAGCTTTGGGTGTGGGGTCCTTCAGGCAGCTCTTTGAGCCTCATGCTGCCCCTAGTTTTATTATGTTATTTATTATATTAGATATGTGAGCCTGTTTTGTTTGCTGCATTGTCCACCCATCAGTTGGACTACTTTTGGATGTCGCAGTTGTATCAGAATAACTGAATCCTTTGCCTCGTAATAATCAATACACTTAAAAGCCGTTTCTTCAAGTTCATTAAGTGACACAGGTTCCACCTCTGAGTTGTTGTGATCTATTGCCTTCTACAAAACTGAAGCATGCTCAGAGCAGGAGGTTTACACCTTGCTGGCCAACAGCTTTTTTGTTTATCAGTATCTTTATACTCCTGCAAACCAGTGTTAATTTTGACAGCACATTTCAATTTAGTTTTAGTCATAGTCTTTTGACTAAAATGCCATTTAGTTTAAGACATATTTTAGTCATCTGAATTGTTTTAATCTAGTTTTAGTGGGCTAAATATGATAAGATTTTAGCTGACTAAATCTTCAGTAGATTTAGTCTACTAAAATATAGTGCATTTAGTTAAAGAGTAATGTAAGAATTTCTCTAGAATTTCCAATCTCATTATATACTCTTGGAGTAAACATCTGTTGATCTGTTATTACTTATGGTATTAAGGTTTAAACATGCAATAAAGACACATATTTAACTGTTGTGATATATAACATGTCTTTATTTATCTTAAAATTAGATTAGACCAAGTCTTATAAAGAAACAATAATATTAAGGACCAGTAATTAGATATGTATTAATTATAACAACTTCCTTTTTGACATTCTTCATTCTTTCAAGCAGAAGTGCAACTCTAAAACATTAAAATGAAAACCTATATTGGCTGTAATGCCATTGCACATATTACCTATTAGCCGTCCATTCAGGATGGAACTGGAAGTCCAAAGAGATTCGTTCTGATTGGATCTCTTCCCAAATTGTCTCTCCCTAACATTTTAGTCTAGTTTTAGTTAGTTGACTAAAATGTCAATATATTTTTGTTATAGTTTTTAGGAACGTAGTTTTCATTTAGTTTTAGTCTAGTTTTACTCACTGGAAAAGTGTTGTTGAAGAAAATATGCCGAAAATGATTAGTAGACGAAATTAACACTGCTGCAGACAGAAGTATAACCCGGCCATATCAGAATAACTTAAAGTGTATTTCCACTTTGGCAGCCAAATTAGGATGACACCTATTTTATCATTGTTACATGTTCCTATTCACATAGCTTCAGCTGAAAAAAATATAAAAAAATGCCTCTTACCGTTTAAATTGCTTTTACTTGTGTTGGGGTTTCTTGGCTTCCTTAGCCGCCATAATTCCCGCTAACACTCATCCCTCCCTAGCTGCCTATTTTGTGGCCTTTTGGACAGGTCAGAAGCCGCACATGAGGCCCTCTGTGTTTACTAAGTTGCCCATCACTGCATTGCACAGTGCTATCCATCAGAGCTTTCTGACAGTAAGATGATCTCCATCAGTGTCCAGTCACAGGCTGGGGTTGGTCTTGGACCAGGCTGTACTTCTCAACTGCAGTATAGTCTAAAAAAAATATATAACGGATTGTAAGATCTGACTGTGGTCAGTCTGGTAGGAGAGCCTGTAAGGATGGTAGAACAGAATAACAAATCCTTTGGCAGCAGCTAAAAAGCTAAGGTTTGTGTAATTCAGTTGTATATTTAGCTGTGTGCTTTCAGATTTCAGTTCAGTTTTAAGATAATAATTGCATTAGGTAATGTGTTCTTCACCTGTAGAATACTGACTAAAGTAAGCTAAATTGGGAACTCTTAGAATTGTTTCTTCCTATGTTCTTGGCTCAAACCCAAAGGGCAGAAAAAAAATGAACATTCTTTCTTCAGTAGAAATTGTGTATACGATCCTGGGTAAAATCATGTTTGTACATTTTTAAAGTAACAATGACAAAGTCTGCAAATTTATTTTTTATAGAAATATACTGCTATTTGTTTATTTACCATTACATTACCTTCCCTGAAAGAAGGCACCTTATTAATGGAAAAGTGCAGCAAAGCAGAGAGGCATTCAGAACACTTAATAATATGTTATGTAAACTCATGGCTAGTAATTACTTAACCACCAGGAGTACATACTGCAGCAGAAAATGTAGAATTCTAGTGAAGATTCTGTAGCTAATTGAGTTGGTGTTTTAGCATTTTGGTTACCTGTCCTCTTCTTTTTTCTAGGATGGAGGTGAACACTCAGCGAGAAGTGGCAGCTCTGAAGTTATGTCAGGGACACCCTAACATTGTGAATCTTCATGATGTCTTTCATGACCAGGTCTGAATTAGTTTCCCAAGAACTTTCCTTATTTCTTTTTACCCATTTTTTATAAAAATTGGCAAATTGACGTTCAAGTTAAGCTGGCTATACACCAGTGGTTGATAGGGTTAAATTGATGATTCATTTTTGAAAAAGAAATCGAAGGAACAGGATGGAAAATTTTTATAACAGTAAATTTGTTTTTTGTTTGAGAAACTCCATTTATTCCAAAATCGAATATTTAAATCAAACGAAATTTCAAACGACATTCTACAAGTCTTCAATCGAATGTTCTGACAAGATTTTTCATAAGAAAGTTTGTTCCAAAATCTACTAGTGTATACCCAGCTTTAGTCTGCACCTGAAGTAGACGCTGTTCCTTCCATACAGCATTTAAGATTAACATTGCTCTTATATGGTTGTCAGATGTTGGCACGAGTTTATGAAATAAGCACACACCCTAGTGATAGCCAAATTTCAAAAAGGATTGCCAAGATAAATAATCCTTAAGGGCCTGTTCACACGACGTCCGTTTTGTGTGCTGACCGGCTCTGTACGCTGCTGCACTCAAAATGCATCCCAATGTATCCCTATGTGTTTTATGGGCTCCAGTTCTCACGTGCGCAGTCCGTTCAGCTTACGACAGAAAAAATACTGCATGTCACATTTTGTCAGGTCAGGAAATGCAAAAATGCATCAAAAACGCACTGCACTGCAGCTAACATACTAAGGCCTTGTTCACACCAAATGCAGAGCAGATCCGGTCAGGTTTCTGCACACGCAGTGCAGTGGGTTGTGCCGCGTTTTTGATGCGTTCCGGGCCGGTTTTGGTAAAAAAAAAAGATTTTTTTAAAGTTTAACATGAACTTTCAGGCACTTGCATGCGTTTTTGATGCGTTCCAGAGCAGGTAGGGCTTGCCGCAGTTTTTTCACCTGCTCTGGATCTGGTCTGGATCTGCACGCTGCGATGTGAACTGGAGGTCAAAATACCATAGGAATACATTGGACACAGTTTTGATCCGGTCTGCACCTGCTCTGGTCTGGATCTGCTCCGCGCTTGGTGTGAACAAGGCCTAACAGCCCCACTCCAACGCATCAAAAATGCAGCAAAAACGCACTGCATCAGTCTGCAGATCCGCACCTGATCAGGACCTGATATCATGTGAACAGGCCCTTAGAATCTCCATAAACAGAAAAGTCTCTCATGCTGACAAGCAGATAAGACATTTATCTATTGTTCTGAGCACTGGTGCAGGAATAGCAAAATAATTGTTCCTTCTTTCCTTATGTCCATTATCACTTAAAGGAGAACTATGAGGTGAGTGAAAATCACTAATGCTCATAGTTTGAGCCGATGTGTGACAATGAAACTGTCACACGTCGGCTCAATAGATCGAGAAGTGAGTGAACACATACCCGTCGCTCGCTCACTTCTCGATCATCTCCCTGCAGAGAGCCGTGACTGTCAGTCACGGCTCCCTGCAGGGATTTCCCCTCTCCGATCCTCCAGCACTTACTGGAGGAATGGATGGGGGAGGGGGGCGGGCATAACTGGCTCTGCCTCTACATATGCAGAGCCAGCTGTCGCCCACGCAGCTGGGTGGATCTCGACAGTAATGTCGGGATCTGTCCCGGCTGCGGCGGTCTCATTATACGGTGAGCTGTAGTTCGCGATATACTGAGCTTTGGCTCACGGAAGGATGCTAGTTTATGTCCTCCCGTGACCCTTAAGAGAACTATGGGGGAAAAAACTTACCCTATAGTTCTCTTTTAACCCCTATACTATACTGACTGATTGTCCCCTGCCATTGCCACATGCTTTTGTTTGTTTTACAAGATTTTCTTAATGCATGCTTACAATGGTTATAGTACAGAACCACACAGAATCAGATTCTACGATTAGTCACTTCAGAGTTGAACAATGAAAAATGACTTCTGATTAGCCTATTACTACTATTCGCTGCATCTTTGCAATAATGTGTAGTACATTTCCCCATGTTTTATCCCTTTAAAAACAATGCAAATACCTGTTGACAAATAAATACCTGTTGATCTGCCAGAGATGCAGTGTGTTGCACTGAAATCCCAAGCAGTGTTGTCAGCCCTGCCCAGTTTCCTACTGCTAAGCTACAGAACACACCTATCATCTCCGTAACATAAAGAGTAGGTGTTCTGTAGTCCAGTGGAGGAGAACTCAAGAAGAGTTATTTACACTGCTTAGGATTTCACTGCAGCAGAGGCAACATTGTCAGCTTAAAGGAGAACTATGAGGTGAGTGCTTTTCACTCAGCCTCATAATCTGAGCCGACCTGTGACAATGAAACTGTCACAGGTCGGCTCAGTAGATCGGGAAGTGAGCGAACACATACCGGCGCTCGCTCACTTCTCGATCCTGCCACTGCAGAGAGCCGTGAGAGGGGAGTGACTGGATTCTCCCCTCCCCTGTCCGATCCTCCAGCGCTGACTGGCGGAACGGACGGGGGAGGGGGCGGGTACAGCTGGCTCTGCCTCTAGATAGGCAGAGCCAGCTGTCACTTACGCAGCTGGGCGGATCCAGACATAATTGTCGGGATCTGTTTCAGCTGCGGCGTCTCAGTATAACGCGAGCTGTAGCTCGCGGTATACTGAGCTTTGGATCACGGGAGGACGCTAGTTTGTGTCCTCCCGTTACCCTTCGGAGAACTATGGGGAAAAGCCCTAACCCCATAGTTCTCCTTTAAACAGGAAGTTGGGAGCTCACTAGGCTTTTGGCAGGATTAACAGATTTTGTTTTGCACTTACAGTGTTTAAAAAAAAACCAAAAAAAACATGGTGAATTGTGCATTTATTATAGAGATGTGCTGAATATGTTTTTGCCCAGCCACTTGTTCAATTGTCCTATGATATTGCTGTCGTGCTTATTTTCAAGTCTCTGTGGCAGACACTTGATTATAAAAATGCTTGATAGCTCTGGTGTTACTAAGGATTTACTTTTTTATGCTGCTAGACCACTGCTACCAATAAAAGGTACCTGCCAGATGAAATCAAAAGGAATACATACTTTTTCCACTAACCTATGAACTGGGGTGCTTTAAGTGGACGTTAGAGCTGATGACCATTTTTTTGATAAAGATTGTGATGGGTGCTTCTCGGTAAATCATCCCTTTTCTTTCTTGTCCATTGAAGGAAAGTCTTTCACCTTCAAGTTATACTGCTGTTTACAGGAGGATTGGACACTGGCAAATAAAAAACTGTAGGCATGCCAGGATAACCCCTCCTACCACCAGTATGCCTCCGGTTTTTCAGCTCTTCTGTTAAAAGACTAATCTATCCTTTGCTAGGATTTTTTTCATTTTTGTTCAATCTAGACTCTTTTATTTCGCTACTAGAGCTGGTCTCTACGATTGTAGCTATCCAGCGCAGCAGTCCTCTGCCTAATTTTTGGAGTGCTGCGTCCAGACCCGCTGGACTTGATGTTGGGACCTAGCCTCAAAGTGTCCTTTAGGCACTAGGTTTAACAAAAGGTGCCTTGCAGACTCTGTTCTGGTAACAAGTTAGCCACGGAGCTCTTTCCAGGTCCAGAGCTGCTGGCATTGCCTCGCGCTTGCACTGTCTCTGAAGACTCACTCCATGTGTAAGCCTGTTGGGCTGAGCACCCAGAATTACCTTATTTGTGTAGGTCAATGGGTGACTTTAAATTCCCCGTTTCCTGCTGTTTTTCACCATGGAAGGGGTCAACGCTGTGGGACTGTGCTGACATCATATGTTGAGTGGAGTGTTGCATGCGCACAGTCTGAGCTTTCTTTCCTTCCATATAGCATAGTTTCTAGACACAAAGGGGAGCAAATGGCTGGAGCTTTACACTTCAGCTGTGATGGCCTTCTGTAAGCATCTCAGTTTGTCTCCCACATTAGTCTTTTGTCAATACACATTGTGGCAGTGCATGGCAATACCACGGTGTAGTATGGCAACTTTGGCTCTCAGGACTCTCAGCCAGAGGGGCTGAGAGGTTCCACAATGTGAATGCCTTTGGAGAGGAGGAACTGGCTGTTCAATTCCTTCCAGGTTTTCCAGACTATAGTGGGATGGGATCTCCAGTCCTGGGGCCAGGTGTTGCCAGTTCCCAGGTTGAGCTGATCAGGTGGCTGAGAGCAACCTTATTAGGAAGCCAGTCCCGTGCTTTAGAGGAGAGTTGTGGGTGTGCTGTAGGCACACGGCTACAGGCAGATGCTGCTGCGTGCGTGAGCACAGGTGACACAGCCAGGAAGGCTGGAGAGGGTTGGTGACCCTGAGATCCCTGTCGGGGAGACAGAGAGGGACAGTGACCCATTAAGGGTGAATACCAAAAGTCTTGGAGCTGAGGGAAGCTGCTGAGGACGGTATATCCAGGGAAAGTCCTGGGACTATAACACTGGGAGTGTATGGCTAGATGTCGGTGAGACCAAAACATGATGTGTTAATGAGAGTCCAATGAACTGTTATGTTTCGTTTATGCTGAAGAAAAGCAAGTTGTTTTGTGAAGTTCCTGGACTGTTCACCTTTTGAATGAATAAAGACTGTCCTTTTATGTTAGTCGGCTTCAGGAGTGGTCACTTAGCACTCACCATTGTACTATATTCCCCAAACTATGACAACATGTGAGGTTAAAGTGCTGGTCTGTGCACCCTGCGTCCAAGGAGCACCTGACCCACATAGAAATCAAAGGACAACATCTCTTTGGACCTCCACTTAATATTAATATTATGATCAAGGATGTCGCTGGAGGTAAGAGCACCAACAAATTTACTCAAGAACCAGCCAAAATTTACATAGTGGGTGCCCGTGTTTGAAGGAGCTGGTCGGAAAATATTTGTACTAACAGAACTGGCAGCCAATGGGGTCTTCTGGACCATGGTGTCTTTGTTCCATTTATTGTGTCAAAATAGTTTCAGGGGTTGTACTCCATCCTGGTCACTTTTATTCCGAAACGGAACATCCACCTATTTGGGGCCAGTAAGTCCAAAAATCTACCAGATCTACCATGCCCTCCCTTTCCCGGAGGAGCTTTCTGGATCTTTCAACCCCTCTAACTTTTCAGTCTCGCCCGTGCTCTGCAAGTGTTCACCAGGGTGCTGGCCCCAGTGTTAGCCTTAGTGTGTTCTCATGCCATCCCCTTGTAGGATACTTAGATGATCTCCTGTGAAAGGAAAATGTCAGCGTGCGCTCTGTTGGACAACATCCCTCTGATTGTTCTGAGGTTTCAACAATTTAGTTGGATCCTAAATCTTCAGAAACTGGTGCTGGAATAGTCTCATTCAGTTGATTAATGACAGCGTGGTGGTGCGCATCAGCCATCAAGGAGCAACAGGTGATATTGTTGCAAAAACAGAGGTTGTTTAGATCCCGAGCTTTACATTCTAGTCCTGTTAGATATGCTCTTCATAGTTGTGAACAACTGTTGGACAAGGTCTTCCAACTTGTTTCATTTACTTTGCAAGTGGAGGATACCCAATGTAAACCCCCTGATGTCCTGATTTTATCACTTGCTGAACACATTCCTCTCCAGGTGCAGAAATCCTCTAGCTGTAGCATTGGATACTCTGCTGATCAATACACTCAGATCTAGGCTTTTCCTCTTACACTTCTGCTTCACAGACTTGAAATGGAGGGCTTTCTGGAGATCGTCTCTGAGAGGTGAGTGTCTGATCCGATCTGAAACTTCATCTCTGTTTGAACCTGTAAAGGGCTGAGGCCTAGATCTTACTTCTCAGCTATGGCAGTTTCCAATATTTTCCTCAACCAGTAAATCATTATTTCATCCTTGTTCGACTACAGTTCAGGCTGTGGGTCACTATCTCTCAGCTACTGATTAGGTTTTGTTCTTCTCTGATAGATCTGTAGGGTGATTTCATTTCTCACGCCACCATTCTTGGTGCTTCAGGCAGACTAGCTTCTGGTATCAAACATTGGTGTGCCAATGCAAGGTCTGGTCTCACGTTTCTGGTACAAGGGGAGGTTGTGGCCTCACCTGATGTCAGTATAGTCCTTTATGCGTCTCTTTTGCTGTATCCAGTCCCCAGTTTTTTCTATCGTTCACGTTGGGCCTTTTAGAGATTGTTTGCTGTGTTGCCCACCACACAGTTGGACTTCTTTTGGATGTCCTGAAGGTGAAAGATTCCTGTGTCCCTCGGCAAATGAGAAAGAAAATAGGATTTCATTGAGGGATGCAGGTGCCATCTCTCTGTGTTTATGATCATGCTCTCGGTACTGCTTACTTAGAAGGGGTTATCCTGGGCTGGCCTACAGTTTTTTTTTGTTTTTTTACCAATGTCTAATTATCCTGGAGGTGGCAGTGTAACCCAAAGGTTCCTGTGTCCCTCAAAGGACTCCAAGAAAAGGATTTTATGGTAAGTACAAACATAATATTTTAGGCATGGATGCATTCTTCCCTGTAAAGTGATGAAGCATTTCTTTGGTCAGAGTCCCTCAATAGTTTGACTATGCAGCTTCTACGTAAAGCAGGCTTTTCAAATTTTTCAAATGTATGAATTTAAGTGCATATGCCAAGATAAAATATAACTAAGGAAATATGTTTCCAATATATTCCTAGTGTATTAATGTGCTAAAATGTGCCTCTACCAACCAATAGTCAGGTGAGCTGTCTCTCACACAACATTATATTATGCAGACAATTGACTCTAAAAGGAGTCAGAAAGATGGCTATGATTTCTGCTGGCTGTTCTCGGTTCATCATCCAATTAAAATGAGGGGCTGGAACCGTGGAAGGTTATTTATGTTGCAAACGCATATCACATATCTTAACCCAGCTTTTGCTGAAGCCAGACGAAGGATTCACACTGTTAACTGTTAATATGCCTTGTATTAAAGCAGCTAGTTCATTTAATTGGGCTGCCTAATGCACCAAAAAGGTGCATACACTATTTTTTTGTAGTGCAGTGCACCACAACGCACAGTAGCGCGTTACCGTGCATTGTGGTGTCCTGCAACGCAGGTGCATTGGGGTGCCATTCAGAAAAAATGACACCACAGGGTACCACAGTGAAATAGTGCAAACCTGGCCTAAAATGTAATAAGTGGTATTGTTCTTTACCACATAAAAGTCCACTTAAAAATACACTGAACATATACTTACTTGCTATTTTACCTTACTTTGTGTCTTTTTTATTTTATTTATTATTTGGTAGTATCATTCATATGTTGTAATGGAGCTCCTGGATGGTGGGGAGTTACTGGACCGAATAAAGAAACACTCGCGTTTCACCGAAATCGAAGCAAGTAAACTTATGCGCAGCCTTGTGAGTGCTGTATGTCGCATGCATGAAGCTGGAGTTGTCCATAGGGACCTTAAACCTGAGGTGAGGATGTATTAGTAAGAAAAGGAAAACCAATGATAAGAAGCTAAACGTTATTTATTTACAGCATCACTTTTCTTCATACAGAATCTATTGCTATCATCGCCCGGTGAAGATGCTGTTTTGAAGGTTATAGATTTTGGGTTTGCTAGACTCCGCCCTCCAGGGTCCCGGCCATTACACACTCCTTGTTTTACACTGCACTATGCTGCCCCAGAATTGCTGTCACATCAGGGCTATGATGAGTCATGTGATTTATGGAGCCTGGGTGTCATTATGGTAAGTGTTCCCTGACCTTATATACCTTGCTGGAGCCTTATTAGCTGTGTTCCTGCTGCTATATTACCTGTTATTGCAAAATGTTTGAAAACCTTATTTTAAGAGGCAATGAAAGATACATAAAAATTCCATGATGACCTAATTCTCCATCATATGAACAATTCCCACATCCTTCTGCTGCTATTGCCAGAACTGTAGCATAAAGTAATGGGTACACAAGCTGTTGCTGAGTAAATTTGTTGTTCATCAACATTCACAGTGACAGAAAGACTTCAGTTTCTTCATTCTTGTGTATACTGCTTGGAGATCTGTTTCTGTAAAAGAAATATATATCATTTGTGTATATCATGAACTGCTGCCATCTTTACTGCTCAAGCTTTTGTATATGTTGATATAATAAGTGTTCCAAGCTGCCAGATGGTTGGAATGTCTAGTCTCATGATTTAGGTAGATGTGCCAAGCCAACCTAGAGCCAGATTGGCCAAGCCAAGGAGCAATTAAATACTGTCAATCTGCGAGACAGAAAAAATCCTGACCCCTGTCTGTGGTATCTTCCAAAGAAAGAGATACACATGGATGATAATTAAAGCTGCACTCGGGAGTTTTCATATTCAAAGTGCTGAGCAAGGTAGCATTTTGGCTGCAATTTCTACACTTTGCCTTACAGAAGAGAAATGGACAGGGATATATCTGCCCTTAAAGGAGAACTATGAGGTGAGTGCTTTTCACTTACCTCATAGTTCTAGCCGACCTGTGACAATGAGACTGTCACAGGTCGACTCAGTAGATCGGGAGGTGAGCGAACACATACCGGGTTCGCTCGACTCTCGATCCTGTCACGGCTCTCTGCCATGACAGGGGAAGGGGCTGGATTCCCCTCTCCCCGCTCCGATCTGCCAGCGCTGACTGGCGGAACGGACGGGGGAGGGGGCGGGTACAGCTGGCTCTGCCTCTAGATAGGCAGAGCCAGCTGTCACTCACGCAGCTGGGTGGATCCAGACATAATTGTCGGGATCTGTTTAAGCTGCGGCGTCTCAGTATACCGCGAGCTGTAGCTCGCGGTATACTGAGCTTAGGGTAACAAGAGGACGCTAGTTTGTGTCCTCCCGTTACCCTAAGGAGAACTATGGGGAAAAACACTGACCCCATAGTTCTCCTTTAAGGGTTTACACTTGGACTTGTCTTGCATTATCTTGTGTCTCTGTTAATGGTATAGTGTTGCAGTATTTCTTTGTGCACATAAATTCCTTACGAGGGTCAGAAAAGCTCATTATCACCTCCTATGATAGCTCTAGAGCAGGCCTTCTTAAACTTTCTCCACTCGTGACCCCTTTTTGCCCGAGGAAATTTTGAAGGGACCCCAGCGTCGGACGGTGTCTCTCCCCTCTTTCCCCCCAACATCGGTCGGTGTCCCCTCTTTCCCCCAACGTCGGTCGGTGTCTCCCCCCCCTGCGTCGGTCAGTGTCTCTCTCCTCTTCTCCCCCAGCACCAGTCAGTGTCTCTCTCCTCTTCTCCCCAGCACCAGTCAGTGTCTCTCTCCTCTTCTCATCCCTCCCCCCAGCGTCAGTCAGTGTCTCTCCTCTTCTCTCCCCCCCAGTGGTGATGGCGGTCCTGGCCGGGGACTCAGATCGCGACCCCCC